TCTCTCTCTCTCTCTCTCTCTCTCTCTCTCTCTCTCTCTCTCTCTCTCTCTCTCTCTCTCTCTCTCTCTCTCTCTCTCTCTTCTCTTATCCTCGCCTCTCCTCCCCTCTCCTCTCACCTCTCTCTCTCTTTCTCTTTCTCCTATCCTCTCCCCTTTCGCCTTCTCTCTCTCTCTCTCTCTCTCTCTCTCTCTCTCTCTCTCTCTCTCTCTCTCTCTCTCTCTCTCTCTCTCTCTCTCTCTCTCTCTCTCTCTCTCTCTCTAATTTTTTTCAGTTATGACTAGCGATTATCTATTTCCAAATACCTGTGTGAATACCTATCATTCTATCTATTTTGCGAACTATTGCATATGTCGCCATTCTGTATCAGTGTATTCTTCTCTTCCTCAATATACAGTAGATATGCTTACGACTACTGAATTTATTTTAAATATCTATTTATCATTATTATTATTTATATATCTATTGTATTCTATTGTGGCTTTCCTGGTTATTTGGCTTATACATAATTTCTGCAGTTTATCTGAATTTTGTATTTTCTTTGTTATCTCTTTATCTTAGTTGTACGTGTCGGCATCCTTCATTTCGCATACATTCCTCTCTCTAATGTATGGCTTGAAATGAATGGATTTCGGTCCCTTAGGTCCTTCACCCCCCACCCCCACCCCCCGGCCTCACCCCCTTCTTTTCCTCCGCCCCCCATTCTTCTCGCCCCGCCCCCTCCTTGCTTATCTCCCCTCCTCCCGCCATCCCAATTCCCTCTCTTCTCGTCTGCTTTATCCCCATTCCTCCCCATCTCCCTACCCCTTTTCAAGCCCTCCCATTCCCCCTCCATCGTGCAGCCCTCCCCTTCCCCGGTCCCCCTCCTTAATTCAATCCCTTCCCCCGTCTTTCATTCCCCCTCCTCATTTATCCCTCCCCCTTCTCCCCCATTCCCCTCCATCGTTCAGCTCCTCCCTATCCCCTGTTCCCCCTCCATCATTCTACCCCATCCCCTTCTTCATTCTACCCCATTCCCCCTCCTTCGTTCTACCATTCCCCCTCCCCACTCCCCCTCCATCGTTCACCCTCCTTCATTCAACCCCTCCCCCCTCTCTCTTCCCCCACCCCCACCCCCCCTCTTAAACCCTCTCAAGCACGGAGAGGGAAAATTTACAAGCTTAGTATGAACGGATGGAAGAGTAGAGAGGGAGAGAGAGAGAGAGAGAAGGGGGAGGGAGCGTAAAGGAAGGGAAAGAGAAGGAGGGGAAGGGGGGTAGGGGGATAAGCTAAGAGGTATAATTTAGAGAGAGGGGGGGACGGGTGAGGGGGAGAGATTTAAGAGTGAAATGAAATGGCGATTTTGGCGGAGGTCGCGAGTTGTACCTGTAAAGGAGGGAAAATTTTGCTCACTGATTAGAAATGTGTAATATTCTGTTTGGAAAGTGAAATTTCTTTTAATACATATTTTTTTTATTTCTTTCCGTATTCTTTCTTATTTCAGTTTGATTTTGATTAATCTATTGTAGAGAGGCACTGCAGAAAGAGAGAGAGAGAAAGATACAGGCAGACGGACACACGCACACACACACACGCACACACACACACACACACACACACACACACACACACACACACACACACACACACACACACACACACACACACACACACAACACACACACACACACACACACACACACACACACACACACATGACTATGTACAGTATATACATCATATTACGTACGTGTGTGTTTTTGCGCGTATGCAGAAGAGCATCCACAAAGATGATGAAATTTTACGTACTATTAGAAAAAAAAGAACTCAAAACTGTTTAAACACGTATCCCTTTATTTTCTGCGAATATTTCTCCATGTCTTTACTGTAACGATATTTGCGCACAGTACGTGTCCACCTGTATCTGCGTATGTGTGTATGCAAGTGTCTGCGTGTCCGTGTGCGTGCTGTCCGTGCGACCGCTTAACCTACATATGCTAATCTCTAAGGACTTTGGATACGGCCGCTGCTCAGGCGTGCTTCCGAGCTCGCTTGGCCGACTGACGGTGTTGTCGGATAAATAGGCAAATGGTTAATAACAATAAAATAATAACAAATAAATAACAAGTGAAAAGGGATAATAAAGAAAGGTAGAAGAGAGGAACAGCATATGATGTCGTTAACAGCATGATTTTAATTATTATTATCATTATTATTATTATTAACATTATTGTCATTATTATCACTACTATTAACATGATCGCGATGATAATCATAATAATTATCATATTGGTTACCATTTTTATAATCATTATCATTATCATCATATTCATACAATCATTCACTCTATTATGAATAGCATAATCATCATCATTATCATTTTTTCAATTATTATTCTTGTAATTTCCATAATTAACATTATCAGTATTATTATAATCAAAATATCATTATCCTTTTTTTATTACCATTACCATCGTTGTTATTATTATTATTATCATTATTATCATCATTATTACTGCTATTATTATCATCATCATCATTATTATTGCTATTATTATCATTATTATCATTATCATTATTGTTATCATTAGTCATTTTCACTATCATCATCCTTATTACTATTATTTTATTATTATCTTTTCTATAGTGATAATAATGAAGAAATTAAGAATGATTATATCAATAATGATAATAATAACAATTATCGTTATTATTGTTATTGTCATTATCATTGTTATTGTCATTTTTATGATTATAATCATAATTGTAATGATAATGAAGACGTATGTCTTTTTGGCTTATCACTATCTATTTCACCTTTATTTATCAATTCCTTTATCTATCTATTAATTTCATAATTGATTCATGTATACGCCATATTTATTCATTCATCCACTTCATATATTCGAGTAGAAAAGATATGAATGAAAAGGAATAACTTCACAATACAAGAGATGTATTTGACCGGATTCGGATACACCTTCGTCAGAAATAAGTATATATTCGAAACCGGTCAAATATATCTCTTGTATTGTAAAGTCATTCATTTTCATTCATGCCTTTTATGCAATAATATATGAAATAAATGAATTACTGAATTGGTTAATATAGGAATGAATTACGAAACGAGTAGATAGATAAACAAATTGATAAATAGATAAGTAAATAAAAGTTATTCATTCTCATTCTTACATTTTCTACATTTGTCAACATACGTTACATTTTTCATATATTCTTTTTTGCGTTAATTGACGATGGTAATGTTAATGGTATTGAAAATAAGGAAGAGTCAATATGGTATTGATACTCGAATGGTATTATTGAAAAATAATAGTTAACTCTCCAGAAAGATGGATCAATATTCTATGTCAGTACAGTGTGTTTCGTCCACTCAAGCCTATAGATTCTAAACAGATGACGATAATAATTATATCAGTAATGAGATATTATAGTTCATAGTGATATAAAGTGACAAGTATAATGATAACAAAATAACACTATTAAGTTATGTATGATGTGAAAATTAGGATCCATCGCGCACTACACAGTATAGTAATAACATAACAAAATTTACTTCTACTACAACTAATATCATTCATTCTTCCAAAAGATAGTCATGATAATAACCCATATAGTGAGTGATGAGAGTATAAATATCAATAACGACATCGATGATTTACAAATAAAAAGTATAAAAAAGGGATCCATCAATACGAACTAGATCAATTTTGTAGTGCACCATTATACAGTTAATACATGGAGATTTAATGAATATACAAATTATTAGAAATTAGGATAAGAAGTGATAGCAATGAGGAAATTAGAATTAATTGAATGAAATTAATATAATGGAGAATGATTATGAATCAAATAATAATTAAATATAATAATGAAATAAATATAATTATAATAATAAATATAATAATAATAAGAAAATTAATATAAATATAATAAATATAATGACATAAATGTTCAAGTAATGATAAATATATAATGATCATACTAATAATATAGAATTAAATAGATACATAATAAATATAATAATAATAAATAATTAATAATAATAATGATAAATTAATGAAAATTAATAACTAATAAAATCGATTAAATAACAATGATAATAAATAATAATAAATGATAATAATAATTAAATATTATAATAAATAAATATATAATTAATGATAATAAATAATTAAATAAATTAATGAAATAATAAGCATAATAATAATGATAATAATAAGTAGGTATATGATAATATGGTGATAATGAGAATAGCAATGATAAATGAACAAACAATGATATATAGCAACAAAATGATTAATAATGATAAATGGAAAAATAATAAAAAAATATATAAGAAATAAAAAAATAACAATAATATAAAATGATAATAATGATGAATAAGTATAATAAAGATGATGATGATGATGATGATAGAAATAGAAATAATAATTAGTAATTGAAATATATATAATTAAGAATTATGTCGAATAAGGATAATTAAGACTGGTAATAGATGATGATAATGATATTTTATGATAACAACAACAATTAATGATATTATTAAATAATGATAATTATATTATATAAAATGATAATACTAATGATATGATTGACGAATTGAAAGATACTCAACGTACCAAAAATTACTACTTACAACAACTACTACACAGTCAATAGTAAATCTAATAAATGATATATATAATAATAATAGGAATGGTAAATAAACTGATATAAAAAAGATAGAATTAGCATGAATGATAATTATGGTAATCGATGGTATTAATGACGGATGAATTGAACATACAACAATAATATGTAAAGATGAAATAAACAGTAATAGTTGTTAAAATGACAACGATAAGTAATACCAAGTAATGATGGTAAATAACAATAATAATGAATACCGAGATAATAATATCCGATAATACAATAACACCATAAATAAAGTTAATAACAACAATATCAATCACGGCGAAATTAAACATGATAAGGATAATGAGTTTATGCACATTTTTTTCAGCAAATGTAAAAGTTCTTAGAAAACGCGAGAGAACGGCGGCGGCAGATGTCCTGACGCTTGTGTACATTTATGCGGTTATTTTCGCTGCCTCTGAGGCTACTGGGAAGAGGACTCCAGACTTTCTCTGTCTGGAGTGTGTTTGTCTTGTCTCTCTCTCTCTCTCTCCTCTCTCTATCTATCTATCTATCTATCTATCCTACTCTATCTTCTCTCTTATCTACTCTCTCTCTCTCTTCTCTCTTCTCTTCTCCTCTCCTGCTCTCTCTCTCTCTCTCTCTCTCTCTCTCTCGCTCTCTCTCTCTCTCTCGTCTCTCTCTCTCTCTCTCCTCTCTCGTTCTCCTCTCTCTCTCCTCTCTCTCTCCTCTCTCTCTCTCTCTCTCTCTCTCTCCTCTCTCTCTCTCTCTCTCTCTCTCTCTCTCTCTCTCTCTTCTCTCTCTCTCTCTCTCTCTCTCTCTCTCTCTCTCTCTCTCTCTCTCTCTCTCTCTCTCTCTCTCTCTCTCTCTCTCTCTCCTCTCTCTCTCTCTCTTTCTCTCTCTTGTCTTCTCTCCTCTCTTCTTTCTCTTTTCTCTTCTTTATCTTCCTTTCTTTTTCTCTTTTTCTCTTTCTTTCTTTTTTTCTTTTTCCATTTCTCTTTTAATTTCGTTTTCTTTTTTCTTTTTTCTTCTGATTTCGTATGATCTTCGTATGAACGTGTGTCTGACCCTGTTTGTTTCTTGATTGTCTGTTCTGTTCTTCCTTTTTACGATTTTTTGTTTGTTTGTTTGTTTTGTCATTTTGTCTACCTAAGTGTATTTTTCTGTCTATGTGTCTGTCTCTTTTTATTTGTCTGTATGTATGTCTACCTATCTGTGTCTTTCTATGTCTGTCTCTCTGTCTGTCTGCTTGCTTGTCTGTCTGTTTGTTGGTTGGTTCATCTGTCAGTTTTGTCTGTCTGTACGTAAACCTGTCTGTCTCTGTGTCTTCTTTTTATGCAGCTTTTGAGGTTCCTGAAGGCGAATGTGCGTGTTGAATTCTCTTTCACTTTATATTTATCTCCGTTTTCCTTTCTCTTTTATTATATCTCTATTTTTTCCTTGACTAAAGCTCTCTTGCACTGTCTCTATATATATATAAATTTTATTTTATCTCTATTTACCTTTTTTTTTTTTGCCATCTTTGTCTATTTGGTTAGCTCTCCTCTCTCTCTCTCTCTCTCTCTCTCTCTCTCTCTCTCTCTCTCTCTCTCTCTCTCTCTGCTCTCTCTCTCTCTCTCTCTCTCTCTCTCTCTCTCTCTCTCTCTCTCTCTCTCTCTCTCTCTCTCTCTCTCTCTCTCTCTCTCCTCCCTCCCTCCCTCTCCTCTCCCTCCTCTCCTCTCGTCTCTCTCCTCCATCTCACTCACTCTCTCACTCACTCTCTCCTTCTCTCTCTCTCTCTCTCTCTCTCTCTCTCGTCTCTCTCTCTCTATATATATATATTATATATATATATATATATATTATATATATATATATATATATATATATATATATATATATATGGCTATCTCTCTCTCTCCCTCACACACACACACTCTCAGTTCCTTTCACTCTCCCTATACATTCTGCTGACATATCACCAGTTTTCTTCCTGCTTACCCTCTCTCTCTCTCTCTCTCTCTCTCTCCTCTCTCTCTCTCTCTCTCTCTCTCTCTCTCTCTCTCTCTCTCTCTCTCTCTCTCTCTCTCTCTTCTCTCTCTCTCTCTCTCTTCTCTCTCTCTCTCTCTCTCTCTCTCTCTCTTACTTACCCTCTCCCTCTCTCTTACTCTCTGTCCATCTTCCTCACCTTCTTCCTGTTTTTTTTCTCGACGTCCTTTCCTTCACCTCCTTTTTTCCGTTTATCCACGCGACTACGAGACCTCAGTTCCTTTTCCCTGTGAACTGGCCTTATTAATTATGCGGTGGTTCAGTGGCGCGTGTCATCTCTGCGCCCTCGTTATACATTGTTTCTTCTCCCCCCTCCGATCTTCCTCTCTTTCCCCTCCCCTCCCTCTCCCTCTCGCCCCCCTTCCTCTTCTCTATCTTTTTCCCTCCCTCTTCCCTCTCCTTTCCCCGCCCCCTTCCCCTACCTCTCTTCCCTCTTCTTCTCTCTTTCCTCTCCTCTCCCTCTTCTCTCTCTCCACCCCTCCCCCTCCCTCTTCTCTCTCTTTCCCTCCCCCTCCCTCTTCCTCTCCTATTTCCCTCCCCTCCCTCCTCTCTCTATTTCCCTCCCCCTCCCTCTTTCCTCTCTTTTCCCTCCCCTCCTCTTCCCTCTCGCCCCCCTCCCCTTTCCTCTTCCTTCTTGCTCCCTCTTTTCCTCTTTCCCTCCCTCTTTTTCCTCTCTTTCCTCCTCGTCTTTTCCGCTCCTCTTCTCTCTCTTTCCCCTCCCTCTTTTCTCTCTTTCCCTCCCTCCCTCTTTTCTCTCTTCCCTCCCCTCTCCTCCTTCTTCTTCTCTATTTCCTCCCCCTCTCTCTTCTCTTCTCCTCCTCGGCCCCTCTCCTCTCCCTCCTCCCTCTCCCCCATCCCCTTCCCCTCCTCCCTCTTCTCTCTTTTCCCTCGCCTCCTCCCTCTCACCCTTCCCCTTCCCTCCTCTTCCCTCTCTTTCCCCCTCCCCCTCCCCTCTTCTCTCTCTTTCCCTCCTCCCTCCTCCCTCTCACCCCCTTCCCCTGCCTCTCTTTTCCCTTCGGATAAAACTTTCTCCACTTTTCGGTTTTCCATTCAAAGGGATTTGCTGTGGTATTGTAAACATTTGCGAATTAATATGGCGATTTGTTCCTGTTCCCTTTGTGTTGCGTTTGTTTTTGTTATTGTTTTTTTTTCTTCTGTTATGTGTCATTATCTTGTCTAGTTTGTTCAGGAAAGAGTGAGAGTTAATGCGCAAGTTTTTTTTTCTTAATTCACAAGATTGCGTGGGGCGGTGATATGTAAAACAAATGTTGTGTAATCTGTTTCTCTCTTTTGTTCCGATTCTGTCTGTTCGTCTCTTGTCTCTGTCTGTCTGCTCGTCATCTCTCTCGTCTACTTCTATCTCCTCTCTCATCTCAAGTCTCTCTCTCGTGCTCTCTAATACCCTGCTTCCTGTCTCTTCCCACTCAGTCCTCTCTCGTCCGCTCTCTCGCTCCCATCCCATCTCTCTCTACGTCTCCTCTTCGTTTGTTCCTCTCTTTCTTCTCTCNGAGTTGTGTTTATTGTTATTTTAAGGATGCAACAGGTTGTGAATAACAAAGTAATTTGTGTTGCTGAAGTTGTGTGCTCTCTCATGAATTCCAGGTTGAGTGTGATCTGAATTTTGTAGGCCTGCTCATCTTACAAAACATGCTGAAGCCTGAAACTGCTCCAGTAATACGGCAACTGAAGGCTGCAAATATTAGAACAGTGATGGTCACAGGTGAGGCAGTTGTATGGGGTGTATTCACTCTTGTTTAAGGTAATTATATCTTGATTTGGTATTGTTATTACCATTAATCATTAATAGAATGACATTGCTCTTAGTTGCTGTTAATTTGTACAGTTATGATTAGTTTATTGAGTCATTAGTGAGATTCATCATTGATAGTAGCTCTGCAAATAATTGCTAATGATTTCAAAATATGTAATTGCTAATAACCCAGCACTCTTTCAGTCAAGTCCCTTAGTAAAAGCCAATAACTAACACAAGCACACCTAACATGCATGCACAAACAGGAGACAACATTTTGACGGGAATCAGTGTAGCACGCGATTGCGGCATGGTGGGAGAAACGGACCACGTCTTACTGGCCAAAGTCACTGCCCCCAGTTCGGAGCACCCTGCCGCTCTCACCTTTGAACCTGCAGACACACCAGACATTCTGGTACAATACTCGGATGACGTGGACAATGTGAGTCGGGGGGGGGAGTTGTAGAAATGGCCTAGGTGAATGGGACAGATTAGACAGGTCTTGATTGCCTTTCTTTTAAAGTTCAACAATACTGTCTTGCTCCAGATATTGTTACAATACTTTTCTAGAATAAAGAAAAAAAGAAAAAAAGATAATACTTGAGATGGGTTAATGATAGAAGGAATAACTGGAGTTTGGCGAGTTCATTTTGCATATTTTAAAAGTTTGTTGTTATTGATATGTTATTATTAATGTAATTATTGTTTATTATTATTATTATTATTATTATTATTATTATTATTATTAGTGGAAGTATTATTATTATTATTGTAATCATTTATATTTTTATTATCATTATAATGATCATAATTATTATTAGTTTATTTTTGTCGCTCTACCCTCATCACATTTCAACAGAAATACACTAGCATCAATGCAGGAGACGGTGACCCCAGGTACCACTTGGCTGTGACGGGAAAAGCCTGGGCATTATTGTGCCAGTATTTCCCAGACCTTGTGCCTAGAATTGTTGCAAAGGGAACAGTGTTTGCAAGGATGTCACCTGATCAGAAAGCCCAGCTTGTGGAGGAGTTGCAAGCAATTGACTACATTGTGGGCATGTGTGGTGATGGTGCTAATGATTGTGGGGTAAGTGCTTTTCTGTGTAGATTTCTTTAAGTTGATATTGCAGTGCAACATTACTGTATTATGAATGCATGTAATTATTGTTGCTTTGAAGGGTGTCAATTTTATTTTGTGTTTTTATTTATTTATTATTATTTTTTTAATGAAATTTGATGTTTGATCCGTAAACATAGCTGTGGATTAGACTTGTCCACATACTTTTTGTTAATTCATGCATTTATATTTTGATGCATAACAGTAAAAAATATAATAAGATTTGTGTATTTTTATTCCAACAAAACTATTGCATTTTGCATTCTATCACCTCCAGGCTTTAAAAACAGCGCACGTAGGAATCTCACTCTCAGAAGCTGAAGCAAGTGTCGCTGCTCCCTTTACCTCCCACACAGACAACATCCAGTGTGTGCCTCAAGTAATATGTGAAGGGAGATGTGCCCTTACTACTAATTTCTCCGTCTTCAAATACATGGCTCTCTATAGCATCATCCAGTTTGTTTCGGTTCTCATTCTGTATACCGTAAGTGACGAGAGGAAGTACTTTTTTTATACTGTTCACATGCATGTATTTATTACTTTATTTAGCCCATTATGGCCCATGATGATTATACTCTAGATGATACAAGAAGTCATATTTTGATGACTTGTTAGAAATGCTTACAGGTGAATAAGAAATGAATGAGATTTTTATGATTGAGGACTAAAAAAGGAATAAACTTATTGGTAGCTATTTCTCAATGATTTTACTCATCCCTACTTTTATTCCTCCAGGCGTACAGCAATCTGACTGATCCCCAGTTTCTCTACATAGATCTTTTCATTGTAACTGTTATTGCTGTATTTATGGGATATACAGGTGCTCGGCAGTAAGTCATCAACTGAGACTTTGTCTTTTCAAAAAGTACAATTAGGTGATTGAAAAGTGCAATTAGGTGATTGAATTTAGATGACAGAATCATTTAAGATTGTGATGGTAGATTTGGATGTAAAGATATATTGACTGTTTCCTGGTCTGCTCAATTTTTATTTTTCCTACAGTGAGCTAGTGGCACACAAACCCCTTGGGAATCTGCTTGGAGCTGTGAACATGTTCTCAGTTTTGTCGCAGATAGCACTGGTTATCCTTACACAAGTCATCGCATATCTTTACCTTCTGCAGCAACCCTGGTGAGTTGGACTAATATCAGTGTTCCTTTTTTTTCCCCTTCCATCCTTCTTTCCTTCCATCCTTATAATGATATTGATTTGTTATTACAAAATTGTATAGCAGCTGTTTAGTGCTTATAGCATAGAGCTGGCTAACTGCATATGGCACGTAGATTTACTACTCAGCATTTGAGCATAGTTTGTCACAGCAAGAATAGATAACCTGTGTTCACAGGGTTAAGAGGGCATACAGGGAAGAGAATAATTTTCATACTGTTTTTCAGCAGTTGAAAAAAGAGAACTTTAATAAGAAATGGCATTTGTTTCCCCCAAGGTTTGAACCCAACAAACCAACACCAGGAAATGAAGAGGACAACACTGTGAGCTGGGAGACAGGGACCATTTTTTACATTTCGGCTTTCCAGTACCTGACCCTTTGCATTGCCTACTCACCAGGGCATCCTTTTAGGCAACCCATTTATACCAACTGTGAGTATATGTTATTTTATTTTTTATTTATTTGTTGTTTTATCTGTTTGTATCTTTACATTTTTATATCTTAGATGGAAATATATTTATTTCTATGTGTTGTTGATTAGATTTTCCAATTACTTTTAGGATTACAGTTGATTAGATTTTCCAATTACTTTTAGGATTACCGGTGAGAAAATTTAAGTTGTCAGTTTTTCTTCTTGTCCTTTTTCTCATTAGCATCTCATTAGCAATATCTCTTCAATTTTGAGGTAAAGGTGAAAAATGCAGTTATTTGAACAATGATATTAATTTTTCTCGTCATTGGATCATTTACCTAAACCTTATTTGGCTCACAGTCTTAGGCATCTTTTATAGATGAAAATTAAGATTCACAAATATTACTTGCATTACCTTTTCTCATCATTCCTATGTTCAATTATATCTTCATGTTACAATAACTTTACAAATGATAATTGAATTTGATGGATTTCAAGTCTCAGCCTCCACTTTTAACCCCTTGTGCTACATCTATTTCATTATTCAAATGCTACAGCCTTCACCATTTCTAGTTACAGTTTCAATAGAAGAAATAAACTTTCAGAATTTGAAATGCCAACCTCTGCTGACATCCTGTACCATTTAACCATTTTCCAAAATCTCTGCAGTCTGGCTCACAGTGTCTCTCGTCTCACTGACGGTCATTACACTGATGATGCTACTCTGCCCTTGGTCTTGGCTGATGGAACTCATGAGGATTAAATACGATCCTGAGAATGACCTCATGATGTTCCGTGTGGCGCTGCTACTCATGATTGCACTGCACTTTGTGGTTTCTCTGTCGACTGAGGTAGGGATGTAAATTTTTTATTTTTGAGCTTAATTTAAATGCTATTATTATTATTATTGATTGTCATTTTTTCTACTTATTGTTTTTATAGTACATATGTGATTTGAGAGAGTAAAAAGGAAAGGAAAGAGAGTGGATAGTTGTGAGAGAGTAAAAGGAAGAGGAAGAAAAGAGGTAAAGAAAAGAGAGATATGGCAAGGGAAAGGTAGAGGCAGAGGAGGAAATAGAGGGGAAAATCTATAGATTTGTCATGATATCAAAGTGTGGAATAAGACTTGTTACTTTGCTCTTCTGCAGCATTTTGTTGCGAGAAGCCGTTTCCTGAAGAAGTGTTTCCAGTGGATAACCTGCAAGCGAGAACCCAAGAACAAATACAAGAGCGTCATTCGTGATATGAATGAAGACTTGAGCTGGCCTCCTGTTGGGACACCAATATATGCTACACTCCAGACTTAATATGTAGAAGATATGTATATGTATTTTTTATGCTTTAGAAATTGATTGGTTGGAAATTTTTATTGAAAAATATAAAGTTGTCATGATTTTGATTTATTGAATTATTTATTTTAAACAACCATTTAT